GCTGCTGCTCCAGCGTTTCCCTCGAGCCCGCCTCTCGGGCGGCCTTTGCTCTCCCCATCCGGCCGCTCGCCCGTCCCAGCGCCCGGTTCGTGGCGGTGGGCCTGCCTCGCGAATGGCTCCGTCCCTTGGGTGCTTGCATCCCCGAGCCGCCTCTTCTCTGCTGTGGGCTCCCCTGTCCTCGCTCTCCATGTGGCTGGCCCCTCTCTGCCCTCCCCTCACTCACCCTTGCACTCGGGCTTCCTAAGTGCTGGCTGCGGCCGGGTAGGTGTTTCGGCGCACACCGACAGCCGCCCTCGCCCCCGCCGGTGGGGGCCGTTCACACTGGGGGGGTCCCTAGGCCGCCCCCCCCCCAGGTCCTCCTGCTGCTCACAGCCGAGCTCTCCCTCCCGTCTCGGGCTGGAGCGAACCATTCCCGTGTTTGCACCAGACACACGCTCTTGCCTGCCCTCCTCCCACCGCCCGGCCAGCCGGTACCTGCGGCTGACGGTGCCCCCCACCCGCACCGCCCGAGCTGCCGGGCCGCCTCCCCAGCGTTCCCTTTGTTTCACAATGCTTTCTGGGCGCGTGTGCTGCAGATTCCAGAGCGGCCTGGAGTTGGAACAGGGCATTTTGCCGCCAGGCACCCGCTGCTCGGTGTCCCCCCATCCCCACACTGTATGGTGGTGTCACCTCTTTCCTGGGCTGAGTGGACACAGTCGGCCTCCTCTGCCTCCTCCCACGTGTCAGAACGGCCTCTGGCGCCCGCGATGTGCGTCCATGACCTGAAGCAGATGCGGTGACAGCACAGTGTTCTGGGTGGCCAGCGGTACCGGTCACAGGTCTCCCCACCGCAGAGGCCGCACCTCGAGGGGACCCTGAGACCCGGGGTCCTGCCCTTAGCACACGCCTCTCCTTAGGTGTCCCCGGGCGTCATTGCCAACCCCTTCGCGGCAGGAATCGGCCGCCGGAACAGCCTGGAGAGCATCTCCTCCATCGACCGGGAGCTGAGCCCAGAGGGCTCTGGCAAGGTCAGAACCCCCTGCAGCTCAGCCCCAGGGGGCGGGGGCGCGAGCCTGAGGCTGGCAGTCCCTGACTGGTGTCCTCTCTGCTCTTAGGACAAGGAGCCACCGGGACAGCCCCCTCAGTGGGGGCTGGAAGCTGTGGTGAGTGTCCTGGTTCCCTAGACACTGGGCTTCTCTTCGCACTTGGGCCTGGGGCGCCGCAGGGTGCAGGGTGGACCCCGCAAGGGCCAGTAGGCAGCGGCCCAGACGCCCAGCAGGCCCTCCTTTCCCCGGCAGCAGCCCGTCCCACACTCTGGCGCACACGGCCTCTCACGCCGCTGTCTGCTCTGCTTCCCAGGGTCGGAGCCCAGAGGGTCCGAAGGTGGACCACCGAGCCCTGGCCGCCACGCCCGGCGCCGGCAGCATGCAGAGGGTCAGTGTCCAGGTCACGGCCCGGCCTGCTCTCTCGGCTGCCCTCTCAGCCCTGTCCCGCCTCGGTCCCCACTCCTCCCCAAGACCCCGGACGGCGCTTCGGGCGGGGCCCACAGGGGCACCTGAGGCAGAGGCACTCAGGGTTTGGGAGCTGGGTCCCAGGAAGCCCCCTCCCCTCAGATCCACGGAAGGGGAGACTGAGGGCTGGGGACGGGGGAGCAGAGGCAGCTGGAGGCCTCCAGAGCCACTGGGTGTCCCCCATTGGGGAAGATAGCCTAGAGCAGCTTCGAGAAGCCATGATGGAGGCCAGTGCTTGGTGGTGACAGCTGTGCTGGGCAGGCCGGACATTTGGCCCTTATTCCTCCCCCACGAGATAGAAGGAGCCCTCCGGAGGCGCCAACATGGCCGAGCAGTGGGGAGGTGTGCTGGGGGCGGGGGTCTCAGGGGCTGCCAGGGGCTGCAGTGTAGGCTTCCCTCAGCTGTGAACAGCTGAGCACTGAGAGCAGGAGCCCCCAGCAGGGGTGGGGTCTGTGTCCTCAGACCAGAAAGGCACAGCTAGCCATGGGGTGGTGGGTCAGAGCCCAGGCCGCCCTGACTCCTGCCCCTTCAGAGAACACGGGGAAGGGGGTGGCTGCCATGGGACAGCTGCCCCGCTGTGGGCAGAGCCTCCCTCCTGGCTCTGTGGGGTGCAGAGGGGATCCTGGGGGACTCTGGGCTGTGCCCTTGGGGGGACCCTTCACACCGACCGAGGAGGTGTCTCCATCCACCTGGGGGTACCCCCCAGACTGGAGTCAGATCAGGAGCTAAGAACCAGGTTCTGGCAAGCACCCCACCCCCACGAGGCCCCAACCTGGCCTGAAGCTCACTCTGGCCTGACGCCTGCAGGTCGTGTCTGGAACAGCCGGAGGGAAGGTGGCTGAGGCCCCCTGCTCCCCCTCCCCCAGCGGCCAGCAGGTGGGTACCTAGCAGGTGGGGGGCGGAGGACAGGGCAGAGGGGACAGCACCTCCCCCCAGCTGCCACTCCTGTGAGGGCACAGCCCGCCAGCACCTCCCTGGGCACAGGTGGTTGGCGATGGGGGTGGGGGTTCCCTGTGGCCCCCGGGGCGGGCGGAGCCAGGCGGTCAGGGCTGCCTCCCCTCTACCCATCCCCTCGTGTGTGAGGCCCGGCTCGGCCCTACTGAGGCTCCGTGGGTCTGCTGCGGGGGAGGGCGGGGGGGGGTGGGCACTGGCAGTGCCAGCCCCGAGGCCAGCTCCTGGCCTCTGCCCTTCCCAGCAGATGGCAGACAGGTAAGCGTCGGCCCCACGCCCCTCGGTACCTACCCTGACCGCTCTCCTTGGCTCTGTGTCTCTTTTCTGCACCAACCCCCCACCCCCTTACCTGAACCCCATCCCTCCCCGCTGCTGCCCAAAGCGGCTGAGGCCTGGCCGGGGGGGGGGGGGGCTCTGTGACCCCCAGGGATAGAGGCGACCCCCACTCTGTGAGTGCCCTGACCCCTGGTATGGGGGCGTCTCAGGCAGCTGGCAGGGACAGCCAGTGGCGACGGTCAGCACAGCTCACGTGCGCCCCGCCCCCCAGCCCCCCTCCCCGCCCTCCCCCGACGCACCGCCCACCAACGTGAAGCAGGCCTACAGGACCTTTGCAGCCGTGCCCGGCCCACACCCGCTGCAGGACGGCCCCGCCCAGGTACACCGCGGGCGGCACTCCCTTCCCTTGTGTGCGCTCGTGGGGTGCGCGCCAGGAGGGGCCGGGCCTCAGGACCCACTCTCCCCAGCCCCCCACACCTGGGCCCGTGGCCTCCCCGGAGCAGCTCTCTTTCCGTGAGCGGCAGAAGTACTTTGAACTGGAGGTGCGGCTGCCCCAAGCAGAGGGCCCCCCCAAGCGCGTGTCACTGGTGGGTGCTGACGACCTGCGCAAGATGCAGGAGGAGGAAGGTGAGCGGCCAGGAAGGTGAGAGGCCGCGGGGAGGGGGCTCCAGCCTGAGACCTGACCTGTCCTCTTTCCCCTTCCCACCCCACCCCTCCCCCAGCCCGGAAGCTGCAGCAGAAGAGGGCACAGATGATGCGGGAAGCGGAGGACCCCGGGCTCCCCCTGGACCTGGATGGGGAGGCCCCCGATGAGGAGGGGCCAGAGGCGCCGCCGCCCCGGGCCGGCCCCACCACGGGGTGAGGGGACAGCACCCAGCGGTTCCCCGGGCGCCCCTGTGCCCCCAGCACCCCACCCAGCCGGCCCTCCTGTCCCGTCTCCCATCCCAGGCTCAGCCCCTTGGCCCCCCAGCCTCCGGGAGGCAGCGCCCCGGTGCGCACGGCCAAAGCGGAGCGGCGCCATCAGGAGCGGCTCCGCGTGCAGAGCCCCGAGTTGCCCACGCCCGATCGGGCTCTGTCCCCTGCCGAGCGCCGTGCCCTGGAGGCCGAGAAGCGCGCGCTGTGGAGGGCGGCCAGGTGAGGACCCGGCGGCCCAGCGGGGCCCACCCAGCCCCCCGCTGCCCGCGGCGGCTGCACTGAGCGCCCAGCCCCGCCTCCCATTCGCTCTCAGGATGAAGTCCCTGGAACAGGATGCCCTCCGAGCACAGATGGTTCTCAGCAAGTCCCAGGAGGGCCGGAGCAGGCGCGGGCCCCTGGAGCGGCTGGCCGAGGCCCCCTCGCCGGCGCCCACCCCATCGCCCACCCCCTTGGAAGGTCTGTGTCCTGGTGGGGGAGGTGGGGGGCCTGCCCTGCAGCCCGCACCTCCCTCAACGCCCCCTTCTTGTCCCCCCCTCGCCAGACCTTGGCCCCCAGACCAGCACCTCCCCCGGACGCCTGGTGAGGAGCCTGCGGTCAATGCCTGTCCCGTACCCCCTCGCCCCTCCCCCCCTTCACGCTCTCTCTCTCCCTCATGCTGTCCTTTCGAGGCCTTGTCTGGGAGGAAGTTTGACTACAGGCTGTTCGCAGCCCTGCCCTCTTCCAGGCCGGTCTATGACCTGCAGGTACAGGCCCTTCCGCGGGACAGCCGCACGCGGCTCCTGCCGCCTCTCCACCGGGCCTGTCCCGCTCTGCCTCGGGTCCTGTCGCGCGGGTGCGGGGACCCCCACCCCAGCTCTCGGGGGCGGTCGCAGACAGGCCTGGGCTGCAGTCCTGACCTGACCCTTCTCCCCACCGCAGTCCCCGGATTTTGCGGAGGAGCTGAGGTCCTTGGAACCGTCTCCGGGCCCTGGTGAGTGGCACGTGAAACCCGGGGGTCCCCCCCAGGCCACCCGGCCCCCTCCCAGCTCACTGTCCTGCCTCTGCCCACCAGGCCTGCAGGAGGAGGATGGAGAGGTGGCCGTGGTGCTTCTGGGCAGGCCCTCCCCAGGCCCCGAGGAGGTGACACTGTGCAGCAGCCGCCGCCCCATCCGGCCAGGGCGCCGCGGCCTGGGCCCAGTGCCCTCCTAGAGTCCTGGGTGCCTACCCTGACTCGGGTGGGGGGAGGGGTGCCCTGCCAGCACCACCACCCAGCCCCTGCCCCGAGTCTTTTAACCTGGGTGTTAGCGTTTTAAAGAGACCCCTCAGGAGTTCCGGCCGCCGACTAACTACCCCGTCCCCGCCCCGTTGGCAAGACTGTAACTAGTGACGTTTGTACAACCAAAGACTCTATTTTGTGGTTTAAGAAGAATAAAGTTGACTACGTTTTACCTCCTGTCTGTCTGCCCACCCACACCCCACGGCTGGGGTCCAAGGGGAACCCTGAACCGCCAGACCGTCCCCCATCCCGTGCGCACAGCGGATGCGCGTGCGGTCCTGGGCAGGGGGGTGGCACGGCCCCAGGTGCTAGAGGCCCCCGCGGGGCGGCCGCACGCGCACCGGGAGCAGCACCCGCAGCGATTCCTCGGGCGGCCGCGGAGCCCTGGTGACGAAGAAGAGGCGGAAGTGCCGCAGGCGCGCCTCCTGGAAGCTGGCGGGGCCGTTCTCGGGGCCGTCGCGGGGCCGCACCAGCGACAGGAACCGCTCCTGCTCCAGGAGCCCGCGGCCCAGCAGCTCCTGCGCCAGGCCCGGCCGCACGGCCTCCAGCTGCTGCCGCACGGCGGGGAGCAGGTCCAGCTCGCCCAGGTCGAACACCAGCGGCTTCCCGTTCCTGCAGGGCAGGCGGCTCTGAGGGGCCCGGCAGAGAGGCCCCTGCCCCCCCCGTCCCGTGTCCCCCCCACGTCCCCTGTGTCCCCCCCCCTTACCTGAGCGCCCCCAGCAGTGCCAGCCGGATCCTCTCTGGCCGCAGGTGCTCCGGGTTCACCGCGTCCACATAGTTGGTGTCCTGGTAGCGCAGGAAGGTGGCTGCCTGGCCCGAAGGGTCGATGACAAGAGGCCACCTGGGAGCAGTCACCAGGTCACTGCCATCCCCCCAAGCCCTCGGCTCGCCGTCCCCCAGCCCGGGCCACTGACCTGCCATCGGTGCGGATGCGGTCACCCACGTCCTTCATTAGTACGTCGTGCAGCTCGGTGACCTGGCACTTCAGCCCGGGCGCCACCTCTTCCTCCTCCCCTGTGGGGTCATGCAGCGGTGGTGCCACAGGAGGACCCAGTGCCCGCCCGGGGAACCCCCCGGGCCCCGCCCCCCCCTGCCCGGCCCCCCCCAGGCCCCGCCCACCCTCCTCGGTCTGCTCTCGCAGCTCCAGCCTGGCCAGGGCCAGCGTCTCCTCCGCCTTCTGGGCCTCCAGCCGGAGCCCATCCACGTGGGCCTCCGCGTCCTTGATGGCCTGGAGGAGGGGCCCCCGCTCCACTCAGCAAGGCTTTACGCCTCCACGCGGGACAGCCCGTACACCCAGGGAGGGGACAGTGGCCTCTTTCCACCCCAGGAAGCAGCTCCCAGAGGGGGACAGCCCTCGCTGGGGGCGGGGACACCCCAGGCCCCAGAGGGAGAAAACCCACCTGCAAGGTGAGCTCCGTGTGGCCCAGGCGCCTCCCCTCACACTTGTCGTGCTCCGTGATCCGCTGGTTGAGCTCACAGTAGGCCTGCTGCAGCTGGGCGGGTGGCGCAGGCAGGGCTGGCCGGGGCCCTCCACACGGGTGGGGGGGGTCCCCATCCTTCCGAGCCGGCGGCCTGCAGGGCGCCCCCCTGCCCATCCCCACGACCCATCACCCATCGCCCAGGCTCCCGCTCACCTCTTTGTGGCGCCGCTGCTGTTCCCTAGTCAGCTGCTGCACCCGGAGCTTCAGGCTAGGGTGGGAGGGCCAGGCCTGCTCAGAGGCGCCCCCTGCCGCCACCCCCCAGCCCTGCCCCCGCCGCACCGCTCGGCCTGCGCCTCCTGCAGCCGCTCCGCCTCCTGGGCCCGGCGCTGCTGCTCGGCCTCCATGCTCCGGAGCATGGCCTCCGTGAGGCCCAGGTCCCAGGACCTCAGCACGCTAGCCACGGTGTCCAGGGAGGCCACCTAGTGACAGACGACACTGGTGAGGAGCTCAGCGCACGTCTCCGTGCTCTGGGCGGGGGGTCACTGGGACTCCCCCGTTTAGAGAAAAGGGCTCCAGGGGTCCCAGCTCGCTCTCCGTGGGCTCCAAGCCCTGACGGTCACGGCGCAGCTGCCCCCAGACAGACACCCGTGGCTCCTCTGGGCCTCCCCCCCAAGACCACACAGGGTCTCCACGTCCCTTTCCCAGACCCCCCGCAGAAGCAGGCGTCCACTGCCCGGGTCACCGCGGGCACTGCCGCTTCCAGCATGCGGTTCCCACCCTCCCCTGCCGCCCGCGGACTCAGCCGCAGACCCGGCAGGCGCCCCCTGTCTCAAGCCTCCCCACCCCCAGGGGCCAGGGCCGCCCCCCCAAACCCCGACCACCGACCACCGTGGGAGGCGAGTGCTCCCGCAGCACTCACACACCTGCTCGGGGGTGCTCCCGTCTTCTGCGTACACCCGGGGGTCCGCTCCCAGCTCCAGAAGCACCTCCACCGCCTCCAGGTGCCCCCCGAAGGCCGCCCGGTACAGCGGCGTCCGGCCGTATGCGCCCTACGAGAGGGGCTCGGAGCGAGGCGGGGGGAGGGGGCTGCGCCCTGCGAGAGGGGCTCGGAGCGAGGCGGGGGAGGGGGGGCTGCGCCCTGCGAGAGGGGCTCGGAGCGAGGCGGGGGGGGGCTGCCCCCGCCCCCGCCCCCGCGCCCACCTTGCTGTTGGGGTTGGCGCCCTGCTCGGCCAGCAGCCGGATCGCCAGGGGCTGCCCGCCGGCCGCCGCCTCGGACAGCGGCGTGTTCCCGCTGCGGTCCTCGCTGTCCACCAGGGCCACGCGGCCGCGCCGCCGCAGCGCCAGCCCCGCCTCGTCGCGGCCCACGCCCTCGCGGCTCAGCAGCTCGTCCGCCTGCGCGGGGCCCGCGGTCACCGCGCGCGTCCCGGGGCCGCCCCGCCCCCCCCCCCGGCCCCCCGCGCACCTCCCGCAGGACGGCCTGGATCTCGCCCAGGTCCCCGGCGAAGGCCGCCTCCCGCAGCCGCGCCCCGCGCCGCCGCTCCTCCTGCCGCCGCCGCTCGGCCGCCGCCTCCGCCTCGCGCCGCCGCCGCGCCGCCTCCTGCTCCCGCCGCACCAGCGCCACGAAGGCCTGCGGGCGACCCGACCGGGGAGTCGCCGCCCGCCCGGCCGTCGGGGCCCCGCCCCCGAGCCCCCCGCCGCTTCCGGCGGCCTCACCTCCCTCTGCAGCCGGTCCATCCGCTCCAGGTAGTCGCGGTGCTCGCGGCGGCGGGCGGCCAGGGCCTTTCTGGCCAGGAGCTGCCGGAACGCGCACTGGATGACCGTGGCGGCTCCATCTTCCGCGGTTGGCCCTGGGGCTGCAGAGAGGGCGCAGGGGTCCCGGTCCCCAACGAGGCCCACACGCAGCCACCGGGACCCCAGCACCAGGTGCGCGCGACCAAAGGACGGAAACGTTCTAAACTCCACAGACGCAGGGGACGCCTGGCTGCCAGGCTGGCAGAGCAGTTACTCTGGATCTCAGGGTCGTGAGTTCGAGCCCCAGCATCTTGGGTGTGGAGACCGCCCAAAATTTTTTTAAATCGGTAAATGCGGCGGCACCAGAATAAGCCACCAGCAGAGAGCAAGGGCAGAGGAGTGAGCCAGGCAAGCAAAGTAGAGGCGGGACCCCCAGCTCCTGACCTCCCCCCCCAGCCCCCCCTACCCCCGGCAGACACAGATAGGACCCCAGGAGCCCCTGCTTCCGACGACCAGCTGGAGGCACTAGTAGGAAACCAAGAAGTGGTGAGAAACACACCCAGGTGAAGGCCGCCACGCTCGCCCCACAGGACCCCTGCGACACCCCCCCCCCCACACCCCCTCCCAGCATGCAGAGACGGGGGTCTCCCAAGCCCACGGGGACTCGGACGAAAGAGCCCGAGGTGCCTGCGGCCTGTGCTCCATTTCCCTGCACCGCCGCCCGCCTCACACCTGCCGCCCCGCAGACTCCAAGGGGTGGGGGGAGGCGAGCTCTGCGCCCCACAGGTGATCATGGGAACCCCGCCCGCACTGCCCGCCGGCCCTGCCCACAGCTCCCTGCCCACCTGAGGTCGGGGGGCTTCACCTCTCTGGGCCTCCGTGTCCGTTTGCAAAACAGGGTACCACTGGTGGCAACACACCACAGGGCCCTTGCTGGCTCCCAAAAGTTAGTCAGTGCTCGGCGCGGGCCCCCGGGCTCCTCCGGGCGGCAGAGTGTCGGAGCCGTAACCACAGTCAGTGGGAAAGAACCGAAGGCAACCACAGCGCGAGCCCAGGGCGCTGGGCCACGAAGGCGGCCGCTGCCTCAGAGCACTGAGCCGATGCAGGAGTGCCAGAGGGGGACTCAGTGTGACAAGGGGTCAAAGGGCGGGGACGGTCCTGCGGACCAGTGAGCGAGGACTGAAAGTGGACAAAATGTGTGGAGACAGGGAGGCAAGGACGAGGGTGAGAACAGTTAGGGTCTCTGACAGTTCAGTCTCCGCAGCAGAGAGAGAAACCCTCCCGACGTGCATCTTACAGGCGACAAAACCCACGCCAGGGCACAGGGCTACGGGGCCAGACGCGCCCCGACTAGGCTGCGGGGCCTGAGAACAACAGCACAAGGCACGTCTGCGCCCGGAGCGGTCAAGCAGCCAGCGTGGGCTTCTCCTAAGACGCCGGCGGCGACAGGAAAGGTCACGGTCGGGGGCTCAGGGTCCACAGGACTGAAGGGAAAGGAGCTGAAGGCCCACACGGCGCTCTTGTCCCGCCGGTGGAGCGGGGCGTTCAGACCCACAGACAAGCCACGGTGGCCACAAGGCGATGCGGGGCACGGGGTGCGAGCAGGGCTCGTCCGGGCTTGGGCTCAGCTGACGGCAACAGCGCAGGTCGGGAGACGCACGCTGAGCACACGACTGGTGGCTGATCTGGGTCCTGTCTGGCACCGGGCCGGGCAGGAACCTGAAGGAGACCAGTCTCTGGGAAATGAAGTTCCTCCCGGGAACCGAAGCCTCAGCCGCAGCCCCACTCAGGCCTTGCTGGGACCCGGATCAGGGGCCGCCCCTGGACCTGATGCGCACCAGGGACAAAACAGATCTTCCCCGGAGGCCCAGCGCTGTCCTCCGCGGTAAACAACAGAAACAAACCCAGACAGAGCAGGTAAGGAGTTCTGGACACGGGCTTCAGGTCTGAGTGATACATTCTGCGGATTAAAAGACATTAAAATTAAAAAGCTTTGGGGCGCCCGGGCGGCTCAGTCAGTTAAGCATCCAACTTCGGCTCAGGTCATGATCTTGTGGTCCGTGGGTTCGAGCCCCGCGTCGGGCTCTGTGCTGACAGCTCAGAGCCTGGAGCTGCTTAGGATTCTGTGTCTCCCTCTGTCCCTCTCTCAAAAATAAACAAACATTAAAAAAAAAAAAAAGTTTGGCCACAGGGGCGCCTGGGCGGCTCAGTTGGCCAAGCGTCCAACTTCAGCCCAGGTCATGATTTCCGGGTTCCAGCCCCAAGCCGGGCTCTGTGCTGACAGGGCGGAGCCTCTTCCGGATCCTCTCTCCCTCTCTGTCCCTCCCCTGCTCATGCTTTCTCCCTCTCTCTCAAAATAAATAAACTTAAAAAAAAAGTTTGGGCAGAGAACTGGAAACAATAATAATAAAGAATAATAAAGAACCAAATGGAAATCCAAGAAGGTAAAAACACAAAACCTGAAGTTGAGGGCTCAGTGATCAAGCCTAACGGGGTGTCAGACACAGTTGAAAGCAGAACGAGACACCCGCGACAAGGCACACGTGGGGACGCCGGCTTAAAGGGGCAGAGACGGAAGGAAAGGTCTAGTGGTGTCAAGTTGCAGACCTAAGGCGCAGGGAAGAGGCAGCGACAGTTAAAGAAAACTTCTTAAAGCTAAGACATCAACTCACAGCTTTGACATGTGTTACAAATTCCAAGCAGGACAAGTGGGAAAACAAGCAGAGGCTCACAGCACACGACGTTCAAGCTGCGATAAACTAAAGACGGCAGGAAAAGTCATTAAATTCAAGGGCGAAAAGGTCTATTACCTTCAGAGGGATTTAAAAAAAAAAAAAAGGCAAAACAAACACACCTTTGGACAAAGCCGAAAGGGGACTCAGGCGCTGGGGGGGGGGGGGGGGGGGGGGGGGGGGGGGGGGGGGGGGGGGGCAGAGAGACCACCCGGCGTGGGTGGGTGGGTGTGCCCCCAGCAGCTCTGCCACCGCAAACACACACACCGGAGTTAGAACACATCCGAGGGCCTGTGCTCGGAGGAGAGCGGGGGTCATTCAAAGTGCTGAGGTCCGAGCCACGTCAGGACGGGGGGACAGTCCCACCGGACGTGAAAACTCCAGGACGGGCGTGACGTCCGGGACCCGCTGCTGGCCCACACGGTGTGGCCCAGGCAGGGGGCGTGGCGTCCGGCACTTACCCACGCTCTGCAGGGCCCCTGCCCCGGAGACCCTGCTGCTGCGGCCCCTTGAGAAGGTCAAGGGGGGTCACGCAGACGCCTGACCCGCGGGAGACGACAAATGCGTGCGTCTTCCATTATTAAGTTTGTGGACACTTGTTAGGCAGCAATAGAAAATACAAAGTTATGCCCAACTGCTAGTGGTGGGTAAAGTCGAAGGTAACAAGCGTCACTGGGGCTAAAGAACATTCCAGACGGGAAAGGAGCAGTCAGCCAGGCAGTACGGCTCCTGCAAACGCGTCCACATCTGCTGGCAGGGCTTCGGACTCCGCGGAGTAAAACTACGGAGAGAAACTGATGAATCTAAAATCACAGTAGGGGGCGCCCTGGAGGCTCTGTCGGTTAAGCTCCAACTTCTGCTCAGGTGCTGATCTCGAGGTTCGTGAGTTCGAGCCCGCCGTGGGGGCTCTGTGCTGACAGCTCAGAGCCTGGAGCCGCTTCAGATTCTGTGTCTCCCTCCTACTCTCTCAAAAATGAGTAAACGTTAATAAATAAAATCAAAGTAGGAATTTGAGCTCATCTCTCTCAGTAGTTGTCAGAAGAGACCAATAAGCCAGTAACGACACAGGAAATGTTACATGACAGCTAACAGTCTGCCTGGCTGACATGCTGAAAACACTGATCCCTGTCACCACGGGATCCTGTGGCCGAGGGCCCGGTCACCACTGGACCCCGTCACCGAGGAACCCTGCTAATGAGGGTGCACAAGGCAGGCCGAGGGCCGGGCACAAGCCGGCCCCGCCCCAGGCGGGACGTGGGTCACGTTCCTCAGGCACTCCTGGCTGCCCAAGGACAGAGGACAGGAGAGAAAACGAATGACTAACTGATAAGAGATCACAGTCTGCAGGCGGACCTGAGTCTCCATCAGTTTACAAACATCTTAGTAAGTTACAAGAAAAAGGCGTCTTATCAGCGGCCTCATCCCAGGAACTGCCTACTGCATCAGGGTTAACGCTTTGCCAGAGGGAAGAACCCTCTTCAGCGCGTGAAAACCCCTTCAAGAAGCTTCCTCGATGTCATCGCCCCGACTGCACACTTTACCCCTTTAGGAGGCGGCACTCCGCGTGACCCCAGGGCAGCTCTCCGGCCCGGGGCCTGTCCCCGCGCTTTCATAAATCATCTTTTTGCACCAAAGACGTCTTCAAGAATTCTCTGCCCCCCCATCACCCCCGAACCTCATCACCTGTCACCACGGTTAAAGTTAAAATCAAATCAGAAAAAATTAACCAGAGATACCTGTATATTTAGAAATCCTGAAATAGATTTTATAATAAGCCACGGGTCAGAGGAGAAAACAGTGAAAACTATAAAGTACGTTGAAGTAAATGTCCAGGGCGCGTGTGGGCCCCGCTGCGCGGTTGGAGGGCGCCAAGCACCTTCCGGGGGCGACGGCTCCTTCTGGATCGGGCAGAGCAGCAGAGCCCGAGGAGGAAATAAGCTTTTGCCATTTTAAGGTTTTGGGTTTTTTTTAATGTTTTACTTATCTTTGAGAGAGAGAGAGAGAGAGGAGGGAGGGAGGGAGGGAATGCAGGTGCACACCTTCACACACTTTACAAAAGTTCACTCGCAATAGATCGAAGACCAGGGGCGCCCAGCCTGCGATTCCTGATCTCAGGGTTGTGGGTTCGAGCCCCACACTGGGTGGAGAGATTACTTAAAAAACTAAAAAAAAATTTAAAAATGGATCACAGCCCTAAATGTAAAGTGCAGAACTCTATCTGAAGCTCCTAGAGGATGACACAGGAGAATCACACAGTAGGTATGGTGATTTTCAAAAGCAACATCAAAGGCACCACCCAGGAAAGAAATCACTGATACGCTGGACTTCATTCACGTTAAAAAACTCTTGCTCTGCAAAAGACAGTGCCAGAGAGTGAGAAGACAAGCCAC